GGACCTTAACGTCTACGTGTGTATGTCCTAAGAAAGCATGCAGCACAAGTAGCGGATGGCCATCTTAGGAAACTGGCAGCTTTAGATACCCTGCTTACGGTAAAAAACTCGGGAAAAAACCTAAACCCTACACCCTACACCCTAAACCTAAACCCTCGAAACGCAAGGCCCGATCAGCAAACACTTGTGGAACCGCTTTGCGCCCTAAACCCTAAACCCGAACCCTACGCCCTTACCCTCCTATGTTAAGGGTTTTTTGGACCCAAATGCCTCATTATAGAAGGTTGGGGTCTTTTGAGCCTCAGGGTTTCAAATCCTAAACCCTCAACCCCACGTTTGCCGATCGCGGCCCTCGCGTTTTTTGATCAGCCCCCCCCCCCCCCCCCCCCGGCCGCTCCTTTTCGGATCAGGTTTCTGTTGCGGGCTTCACTGATTCTGCTTCGTGGCCACCATGGGCTTTGGGGGCATCGGACCTCGCTGTTGCTGAACTCTCCTTGCCCCTGTTTTGCCCCGTGCTCCTGACCCTGCCAGTGGCTCTAACTTGGGGTAGTCCCTTGAAGCATAAACCCCTCTTTAAGCCCCGCCTGACCTTAATACGGTCTCTTGCACTTGTCAACGTATGCGGGAAGTACGGGGCCTTGGGATCTAAGGGTGTGTACAGGGTCTATGTGGCCCAGCCATCTGGATTTCAGGTGAGGGTTGGTATTTGGCACGGAAGCCGAAAACGCAGATCCTTAAGGAAGGGTCCAAGGGAGGTAGCTAGGCAACCTTAGGCAAGCCGATGGGCGCCTTTAAGAGTACTAAGTTACTAGGGTACGGGGATGTTCGGCGGCGCTTCACCTTTTTTGCAAACCCCTGCTACAGAAAGCCATGAACTCAGCAGATGCGTTGTTGAACCAAAAGCCTACCGACTCCGCATAAAGACCTCAACCCCAAAAGCTTGAAACCACCTCGAGCCCTACACCCTACCACCTCTAATCCCTCTAGACCCTATAAACCCATAAACCCAACAAACCCAACAAACCCAATAAACCCTAAACCGCAATTGCCACCCTAAAGCCCGCAAACCCTGCAAACCCCAAAGCTCAGTACCCTACAACAACCCTAAAAAACCCGACACAAGACCCTGAACTACCCGAAAACACTGACCCCTAAACCAGGACCCCCAACCCTGGGCCTAAAACCTTAACACCCTAAACCCCGAATCCCTGAACCCTCAATCCAAAACCTAAAAACCTTATTCCCTGAAAACCTAAAAACCTAAACCCTAAACCCTACGCCACCCCCAAAATGGCGGCCCAGCCACATGGAACGCCTCTGCAGCCTTCTGCCCCGATTTCGACGGATGGAGACCTCTGGGGCTTCCGTGGTGCCCCCCCGAGGTCGCGAAGAACGTTAGACGCGGTTCAGGGTTTAGGGTTTGGGGTTTTAGGGTTTGGGGTTTCGGGTTTGGGGTTTAGGGTCTAGGCTTTAAGGTTTTAAGGTTTTAGGCTCAGGGTTTAGGGTTTGGGGTTTGGGGTTTCGGGTTTAGGGTTAGGGCTTGGGTTCTAATCCCAAACTCCACAGACTGTAACATTTCCGAGGGCCCTAAGCAACTGAAGCCCTGGCAAGCTTCAAGAGCCACGCCTGGGCACCCTAGGGGCCTTAATCATTAGAATAGGGTTTGGGGGGGGGGGGGGGGGGGGGGGGGGGGGGGGGGGGGTTTAGGGTTTAGGGTTTAGGGTTTAGGGTTTAGGGTTTAGGGTTTAGGGTTTAGGGTTTAGGGTTTAGGGTTTAGGGTTTAGGGTTTAGGGTTTAGGGTTTAGGGTTTAGGGTTTAGGGTTTAGGGTCCAGGGTTGAGGGTTAAGAGCTTAGGGCTACTATAGGGGCCTTAATCATTCGAACAGGGTTTTGGGGGCTACTATGATATATTTATACAGGGACCATAAGGCGATAGTGCTAGTATTATTCCGACCCCATTAATACCCCGAACCGCGCCACCCGCAAGTTCGGTTCGATGCTTTATAGGGTTTGCCCAAACCCTAAATGGCCTGAAATTTCTGAAAGCCACGAAAAGCATCCGAATCCTGCCGCAACAGGGGCCATAGCTACTGGGTTGGGCATGTTCCTAGACCCCGGCACTCGCAGACCTCAAACGCTTGTTGGCACAGGAACACCAAAATGCTTGTGTTTTGGGGTGCCCGTTTAGGTGTTCCACGCCCCAAACCTCAAACGAGACCTCCGAAACCCCACTGGCATTTCAAAGATCCTGCGTTTTATTTGCCGCTCCGAGGTGCCGAGGTGTGAAGCGAGCCAAGAGCAACAAGCCCGGCACAAATGCCAGGGGCGTCCATTCGTGCGCTTTATATACCTGCATCATGAAGCCCACTAAACCTGAAACCCTGAGCCCTAGACCCTGCACGAACAGGCTGTCTACTGAGAAACAAATCAAGCCCATTCCTGCTACAGAGGCTTGACCAAGGATATGGGATCTCCAACCCTACACGAGGTATGGGGCAGAGCTCCGTCGACTTCAGAGACTCCGATCAACGAACCGTATGCCAAACTTCCCGACCTAGAAACACAAGCGCCCGCATGCTCAGTCAACCTAGGACTCAGGCTCTAAACCCTGACGCCACGCTAACCCCGAAACTGCTTGGAGCCATGGTCCAGCGGAGGGAAGCCCAAACCCGATTTGCCACGCCTGATGCCACTCAGCATTAGCTTGCCAGCCGTCAGGGCCTTCCGGAAAACAAGACTTGGGGTTTGAACTTCATAGGGAAAACAAGGAAAAAACGCACCATGCCATTCAAGGGGGCGTGTTGTCAATCCTAGGAGCACCTGCACTACACGGGTTCGTGGTTGAGGGACATCGATGGGAGTTTAGGGATTTTGGGCGCGGGCCACGGGGCCAAAACGTGAAAAGCCCTAAGCCCTAAACCTCACAGTGCCCAAGAGCCCCTAAACCTTCACCAACAAAAAGTCTAAGCTACCCTAAACCCCTAAACCCCTCAACCCCTAAACCCCAAAACCCCAAAACCCCAAAACCCCAAAACCCCAAAACCCCAAAACCCCAAAACCCCTAAACCCTAACCCCTAAACCCTAAACCCTAAACCCTAAACCCTAAACCCTAAACCCTAGCTAGACCTACTTAAAGCCCGGCACACCAAAGCCCCAGGATCCTTTCGGGTCATCCCTGAACTGCCTTCCTGGCTGCTGAAGCCCCAGTACAGCAAAAAAAATTGTAGACCTCTCCCTCCGGGTTTAGGGTTTAGGGTTTAGGGTTTAGGGTTTAGGGTTTAGGGTTTAGGGTTTAGGGTTTAGGGTTTAGGGTTTAGGGTTTAGGGTTTAGGGTTTGGGGCTCTGAAGCCCTGCGAAACCCTAAGCCCTATCAGGGTCCACCTCTGGTCTAAGCCTCCCTGGGCGAAGGAATGCTTTGGGTTAGGGGGTTTGGGCACAGTTCCCTAAACCCTAAACCCCTAAACCCTAAACCCTAAACCCCAAACCCCTAAACCCTAAAAGAGAATTCGTAGGCACCTGCAGCACGGGAATGCACACGAGGAGCACGGTCGTCTCGGCGTTTGCCATAGCGCCGCTTCGTTCTCCCGAGCGTAGGCAAGCCACGAGCAAGATGGCCACTTTCTTGGGGTTTGGGGTTTAGGGTTTAGGGTTTAGGGTTTAGGGTTCAGGGTTTATAGGGTTTATAGGGTTTAGGGTTTCGGGTTTAGGGCTCAGAGTTTAGGGCTTGGGTTTGAGGGTTACCCCATATGGGACCATCGAGAACTCCAGGTAGGTCTTGTTGTGTGGAGACGGGTCAGTGTTTACGGCAAGAAAATTGAATATCCTGGGCCAGCTTGCAGGGATAACGGATAAGCGTAAATGCCACGCCAATGCACTAATTAGCTGAACCGATTGCCGTGTCGTATGCAAATGGCTGCGCGCAAGCTGTTCAGTTGACGGAGCGCCAACAACCTTGATCATGAACCCTTGTCAGACCCAGTGGCGAATACTTGCTTGTAACCGTTGAAGCGGCGCGGTCTCTCCCAAACCCGTGCGCTATCAGCAGCCTCTGACAAGGCGACTACTGGATGGCGCCGGGAACGTTACATTAAACCCTAAACCCTAACTACGACCTGTGGACGAACAGTTGCGTCGCTAGGTTGGAGAGCAGCTCAGATGAAAAAGCTTGGAAGGCTTGAAGCCTTGGATTCCTGGGTCGAACCTTGTTTAGGGTTTAGGGTTTAGGGCTTAGGGTTTAGGGTTTAGGGTTTAGGGTTTAGGGTTTAGGGTTGACGAGTTCAGAGTTCGGGTGGCTTCGGGACTATAGGGGATGTCTGACAGGATCCAGAGAGCAGTCGAAGCCGCTGAAAGCCGTGCACCTCACGTCCCTGAAACATCCTTAATAGCCCTAAACCCTAAACCCTAAACCCTAAACCCTAAACCCTAAACCCTAAACCCTAAACCCTAAACCCTAAACCCTAAACCCTAAACCCTATTCAATGGTGACTGTGATGATTTGGGATGCTCCCCCTTATACTAACAGTCCTTAATAGGGATTCTAATAGGGGGGGGGTACTATACTCCGTACTAAGACTGTTAGTATAAGGGGAAGCATCCCAAGCGATGATTATTGTGTTGCAGTGCCATGCGTAGCTGGGGGAGCAAGCTCGAGGGCCGTTTAGGGTTTAGGGTTTGGGGTGTAGGGTGTAGGGTGTAGGGTGTAGGGTGTAGGGTGTAGGGTTTAGGGTTTAGGGTTTAGGGCCTGGGTTTAGGGTTTAGGGTTTAGGAGCCGGCCAAGCTTGAGGCACTTCCGTGGTAGCTGCTTCTCAGACGGCAACGCAGCACCAAGAGAGTATCTAGGACCAAACCCTAAGCCCTAAGCCCTAAGCCCTAAGCCCTAAGCCCTAAGCCCTAAACCCTAAGCCCTTAGAAACCCGAAACCTAAACCCTAAGCCCTAAATCCTAAACCCAAACCCTTAACCCTAAACCCTAAACCCTAAACCCAAGTGAGGGCCCGGGCAGCCACGGTTGAGCCGCCGAGAGCTTGTGCAAGGCTGTCTGGTAGCACTCCACACGCATCAGGCCGAAGCCTGCTTTGGAGGCTCATGGTACGTATTAACCAGGCACAATAGGGTTTAGGGTTTAGGGCTTAGGGCTTAGGGTTCAATGTGGGGTGTAGGGTTTAGACCCTAAGCCCTAAACCCTAAACCCTAAACCCTAAACCCTAAACCCTAGCAGAGAGGGGGGAATAGGACTCCTGGGAGACTTGTGAAGAGTTCCGTGGTTCGCTGGAATTTCGTCTCGGGCTTGCTACCGATGCTGCTTTCACTCCGGACATCCCTTCGGGTTTGGGGTTTAGGGTTTAGGGTTTCGGGTTTATTGAAATTACTACGGGCTCAGGTCCGGGGAAGTTTCGAGGAAAGTTTCGAGGAGTTTCAAGGAGTTTCCTTTTCTCGGATTTTGTCTCAATAATTTCAAGTTACAAGGGGCTTGAGGGTTTAGGGTTTACGGTTCAGGGCTTAGGGTCATCGCTTTCCCGACCCTGCCGCCAAACAAGTCTGACCTTACTCAATGGGCCGCACTCGCGGCCAACAGAGGGGGCCCTAAACCCTAAACCCTAAACCCTAAACCCTAAACCCTAAACCCTAAACCCTAAACCCTAAACCCTAAACCCTAAACCCTAAACCCTGAACCCTAAACCCTGAACCCTAACATAGGAAAGCCTCTGAGTGGGAAGCCACGGCAGCTTATGACCTTGAATGTCCGAACAGCCGCACCCTCTCAAAAAAATCTACGAAAAGCAACAAAAAAAACACATGCTAAACCACCATGTGAACTACTGGGAAAAGAAAAACGAGCACAACCAAAACCAAAAGCCAAAATCCCTAGAAACGCTACAGCAAGCCCTAAACCCCAAACTATATATCACCCCAAGCTCGGCCTAGAACTCCTCAACACAAAAAAAGAAAAACCCTAAACCCTAAACCCTAATCCCTAAACCCTAACCCCCAGAAACCAAACATTCTAGCCGCAAACTGCCCAAGCCTGCGCCATAGCCGGCCAGCGCCGCAAAGTACGACCCGGTGGCCTTTTGTAACTAAGGGGTTTAGGGTTTAGGGTTTAGGGTTTAGGGTTTCGGGTCGAAGGGTCCTAAGCCCCGGAGCCCACCGAGGTGTCACGGTTGAGGCCCTACCCCCTAAACGCCATAGCGGCTGAAACCCGCGAGTTAGAGGATCCTGATCCCCATAAACCCCCAGAAGCCCGATAATTCTGAACCCCCACATGCCCACAAGCCCTAAACCCTAAACCCTAAACCCTGTGAACCCTATATAGTTCAAGAGTTCAAAGGCATTTGGTCTAAGCAGAGTCTCAGCCCTTAACCCCACCCCCCCTGCCCAGCCACAAAGCAATTTGAGGACTTAGGGCCCAGGAGCCTCGGAATTCAAGAGCCCTAGACATCTTCAAAGTGCTGAACAAGGCCCTACCACCCTGAAGCCTAAACCCTAAACCCTACACCCTACACCCTAAACCCTAAACCCTAAACCCTAAACACTGAAAATCCCTAAAAACGCCCCGCCGAACCCAAATCCAAGCTCCCGGCGCATACAGTGAAGACCTCAGCCCTGGGAACTGAAGCCTGGCATTCGAGCTTCGGGAATTTACGGTGCATCAAGTATGGGAGGGTTTAGGGTTTAGGGTTTAGGGTTTAGGGTTTAGGGTTTAGGGTTTAGGGTTTAGGGTCATCTTCGTTGTCGTGGAGCAAGGTGTACCAACCCAAAGAGGTATAAGGGTTCAGGGGTATGTAGATGAAGCCTCACGGCCCCAAACCAAGAACTCTAAATCTGGTAGAAACCCGGTGTTGAGCCATCTGCATCAGCCAGCAACCTGCACTTGACTCAAGGCATGGGATATATACAAAGGTATCTATTCAATTCTTGCTTTCTTATGTTCTTTACTATTCTTGGTTTTGGGTTTAGGGTTTAGGGTTCAGGGTTCAGGGTTCAGGGTTCAGGGTTTAGGGTTTAGGGTTTAGGGTTTTGTGTTGGGGGGGAGGGTGGGGGTTAGGGTTCAGGTTCGGGGGTCGGTTCAGGGTTTGGGGTTTCAGAGTTTCCGACTTGTGGACTTCAAGGTTCAGAATTTTAGGGTTTAGGGTTTAGGGTGATTTTCGGCTTCTAGGGCCTCAGGCTTCTTGAGCTTCGGGTCAGGGAGTCTTCGGGTTAAGGATTTCAGGCGTTGGTGAGTTCAGAAGGTCCCTATAAACCTGTTGGGATAAGGGAAGCCTCTGAGAAGGCTGAAGTGGAGAAGGGCACCATGCCTTTGTGTGCAGGATGTTCTGCATATGTAAGCATTGCTTCGGCACAGGCGAGAGCAGAGCTCCGCATATGTAAGCATTGCGACTGGATTTTGGCTCAAGCATGAAAAAGTGCGTGCCTGGATTGGGGTGTGAGGGTTTTGGGGGGTGTTTCCCGGGTGGTTCCTCTAGCTTAGGCTGGTCTAGCCTCTTCCGGACCCCCCCTAGCCCGGTGGTCCCCGTCCAGGGTTTTTTCCGTCTTGAGGGTTTGGTTGAAGCTGGGGCTTTCTGGGTGTAGTCCTGGTTTCCCTTAGATCCCTCTTTTCGATGGCCGCTCCTGCGCCCTCCGCCCCTGATCCTCACGAGGACCAAGGGGTTATGAGCCCAACTGGTGCTCGGCGTGCCATTGATTCGAGATTGGAAGGTGAGACTGCTGGTCCGCGCTACGATCGTCATCCTGCTGGAAATGCGATGCCCAATGGGGTACTTTCGGCTGATGTTGTAAGGCGTGAGGATATGGTGCAGGCCTCACCTGGTGCAGCGAGTTTGGAAAGCGCTCCATGGCCACCAGCTATGACTTCAAGGACAGAAGATGTGGGACCGCCTGGTACATTTTCCTGTGATTCCGGGCTTCGCCAAGAAACGTCTTCCGTGTCTGCTGGGAATGTGGGGCCAACGATTCCGCACTTGGTCGCGCGGGCGAGTACGGATAATCACCCGGGAGGCTCCCAGGGTGGGACTGCCTTGCCAGTCCCGTCCTGGATGAGTCGTCTCGGGGATTATCTTCGCCAAGCTTCCGGACAGGTTGAGACGCTGACAACGACGCTCACGAGGCAACGAGTGTTGGGTAGTAGTGGTGGTTTAGTGGTTCAACAACATGAGCAGTTGCAGCAGCAGCATACCACTTCGCACCCCTCCACACCGCAGCATGCAACATACCCGGCAGCAGCGGCAACTATGTCTGGTGGTTTTTCTCCGACAGGACAACAAAGTGGGGATCCTCCTCTGTTTCCCAGCAGTGCTCGTCGTATTATGGAAGGCTGGGCAAGACAGGCTCCTTTGCTGCATGGTCCGAGGAGTGTGGGAACAGACGATGCTTCATCGGCGTCCATTCCGGTGGAGTTGGTGCAGGAGGAGGTGAGAAGACAAGTGGAAGCGGCCTTGGCAGGACAGAAGGGAAGGCTTGAGCGCCTTCAAGAAGAAAATGAGCGATTGCGGGAGATGGCTTTTGGGGGTGGTGGCGATGTGAAAGGACAAGGCCGGGGTGGGGCTCTATGGAATGAGGCGCAGCGGCAGATGAGGGAGCAGTCTGAGCTTCCTGAGGATCGTGGTGTACCTCATGGAGATCGGGCCTACTCAGCATCGCAAGTGCTTCATGAGGATCGTGGTGTACCTCATGGAGATCGGGCCTACTCAGCATCGCAAGTGCTTCATGAGGATCGTGGTGTACCTCATGGAGATCGGGCCTCTTTCGCAACTCAAGTGCTTCATGAGGATCGTGGCGTACCTCATGGAGATCGGGCCTCTTTCGCAACTCAAGTGCTTCATGAGGATCGTGGCGTACCTCATGGAGATCGGGCCTCTTTCGCAACTCAAGTGCTTCATGAGGATCGCGGCGTACCTCATGGAGATCGGGCCTCTTTCGCAACACATGCACTTCGTGAGGATCGTGGTGTACCTCATGGAGATCGGGCCTCCTCAGCATCTCATGCACTTCGTGAGGATCGTGGTGTACCTCATGGAGATCGGGCCTACCCAGCATCTCATGCACTTCGTGAGGATCGTGGTGTACCTCATGGAGATCGGGCCTCTTTCGCTCATGCACCTCGTGAGGATCGTGGTGTACCTCATGGAGATCGGGCCTACCCAGCATCTCATGCACTTCCTGAGGATCGTGGTGTACCTCATGGTGATCGGGTCTTTGCAGCAACAAGTGTGACTTCTGGGGTTCGGGGAGCTCTTCGGGAAGGTCGTCAACCAGTTCCGTCGATGTCTCGGGCCCATGATGGTCCTCGTGCACAGAGGGGCGAAGCTGGTGCCAGGTCAAGAAGTGCAGAAGGACATGGCGAGCTTGGGAACAGGCCAAGGAATGTGTATGCTCGTGGTTATGGTGCCAAGCGATCTGCCTCAGCGAGTCCGTCGCCAAGTGGTGGTAGAGGAGTTGTGGGTGAGAGGTTGTCTGGAGGGGATGTCTGTGGTGTCCCGCCGTTTGACCGAGCCTTCAGGGCTCGCTTGGAGCCTGAGCTAGGGATAAGGGGAGATTATGAGCCGCTGAAGAGACCTGAGGGAGTTGCAACCCTTGGTGCGCCTTGTGAAGCTCCTCCTGGTCTCAGTCCTCCCGTTGCTCCAGGAAGCGAGCAACAACCAGGCGATGTGGCGCCTGCAGCTCCGTCAAGCCCTTCTCCGATGGACATTGTGCTTACAGGTATCGGGCAGCTGCAACAGATGTTGCTGAAGAAGGGAGACGGGTTGGATGTGGATAAGGCGTCGCCGAATTTTCCGATGTTGCCTGACTACACTCCGGAATCTGGTGCCATAGACTTCCAGGACTGGCTGTATCTTGTGGAGCAACAAGTGTCTGCTATGGCGGCAAGCGCTGGCGAGTGGTGGAAACAAGTCATGGGTTCGGCCTTGGAAGCATACCAGGAGTATCAGGCGCTTTCGCCGATCAAGCGGCTTGGGGTGAAAGCAAGGCTATCAGAGGAGCTTCAGGACGGCAAGTACCAGAAGCTTGCGAAAAAGGTGGCAGCCTTACTTCTAGCAGCGCTTCCGACAGGTGTCCGAGATGAGCTAGTGGCCTATCGTGTGCAGGGGACTCATCAGATACTGTTCAGGCTGATGGCTGTGTACCAGCCTGGGGGCGCTCAGGACCGGGCACAACTTCTGAAACAGTTGGAGGTGAGTGAATCTCCAGGAACAGCGACGGATGCAGTGGTTGCATTACGGAGATGGTATCGCCTGTACCAGCGAGCTTTGGATCTTGGTGTTTCCTTGCCAGATGAGTCCGTCCAGGTGAAGTCTTTGGGGGTCTTAACGAAGAAGGTGGCGGAGACAAATCAAGACTTTCGCTTTAAGGTGTCCTTGGCGAAGGCGGAGCTTCAGATTGACACCAGACCCACCTCGGAGAATGTGTTGAAGTACTTCCAACATCTCCTTGCAGAATGTGAGCAGCTTGGGGCTACTGGGAGAAAGGCTACACCGTCACAGGCATCGGAGGCTCCCGGACCCAAACTGAAGGGCATGCAGCAACAGCCCTCAGATGCCGGAAATACCACTCAGAGGCCAAAGGCCAAGGCCTCTCCACCGCCTACGAATCCGACAAAGCCGTGTTCATGGTTCACTACTGATGATGGTTGCAGAAATGGAAAGAACTGCAGTTTCAGGCATTCGTGGGAGGGTCTTCAGCGAGCCGAACGGTGCCTCCTTTGTGGTTCGACGAAGCACAGGGCAAGGGATTGTCCTACGAAGAAGGTGAGTCCTACTGACAAACCGGCCCCAAAGCCGAGGTTGGCCAAACAGCAGGCTGCAGCAGCTACTCCTACAACAGGGGCAGCTTCCTCGGAAGGTCCTTCGCTTTCGTCAGGTCCGTCGGTGCCGGCTGGAGATGCTACTCGTGAGCAGCCTTCAAGCCTTACTCCTTCAACCTCAAACAAGATCGACACGGAGCAGGTGGCGGCGATGTTGTCCGAAACAAACAAGATGCTGAAGGCCTTGACTTCCACTCAGGCTCAGGGCTCTGGCACAGGTTCGGCTTCTTCGGCGCCCTCGGATCCTTTGGGGGTTATACAGAGACAGTTGGAGGATTTGCGGCGACTGCGAATGCTGGTGGTGCTTCCGGAGAGGGTTGGCAATGAAGACTTCCGTGTGAAAATGGATGTGTATGAACGGTTGCTGCAGACTGAGCCAGAGGCGGTTGAGAAGGATTCCGAGGAGAAGATGGCCCTGTTGGATTCGGGAGCGAGCCATGCCTTTCGGGTTGCTGTTGACGATCGTGAGGTGGAACAAGGAAAGTTGGTGAAGGTTGCCTTGGCCAATGATGATCACGTTGTCCTTTCGCAGAACGCTGGTGGAACCCTGTTGTCTTCGCCTTCTACGAACCCTTCGGGTGGTGGAACGATACTACCTATGGGACAGTTGGTGCAGTTGCTTGGATGCACGGTACGATGGTCTCCGACAAGGCTTGAAGTTCGACACCCGATCCATGGCAAGTTGCGAGTGAAAGTCAACCATTTCTGCCCAGAGCTGACCGAGGTGAGCGCGCTACAGCTCATCAAGGAATTGGAGGAAAAACGGGTTGGCGAGTTCACGAAGACCTTGGAGGATATGGAGAGGCAGCTCAAGGAGAT